TTGGAAAATAAATATTCTACTATTTTTGAAAATCAAGAAGATAAAAATGATACTCCAGTTATTGATTAATTCAATTCTAATAAAGCAGTGCTACTTCCGTTCCCTGTTAAAACAATAAATAGTTCTTTGTCTTGTGTGTCTATGCTGATGTCTTCCTATTAATAATTCTCTTGTACAGGAGTGCTTATTGCTATTAGAACTCTACTGGGGGTTGCATGCTTGATTGCAGCTGTGCTAATTAAGCTTCGAAGGAGACATTTGTCTATGGATGATACAATTGAAGAATTTCTTCAAATGCAAAATAACTTATTCAGAAATAAAGAGAATGATAAAATGTTTTAAGGATAAATTAAGGTAAAGTGGTTATGGTTCAGTTTTCAAAAGAACGTTTCGAATCAAGCGTCTTGTTGCAATAAAATTGTTAGAAATGTCGAAATCACATAAGCAAGATTTCATCAATGAAGTTGCTACCATTGGAAGGATTCATCATGTTAATGTGGTACAACTTATTGGTTTTTGTATAGAAAGATCAAAACAAGCGCTTGTTTATAATTTTATGCCAAATGGTTCTTTGGATAAGACCATATTTTCAGGGAAAAAAGATATGACTTTATGGTGGGAAAAAATATTTGAGATTGCAATTGGTGTGGCTTGAGAAATAGAATACTTGCATCAAGGATGTCAAATGCAAATTTTACATTTTGACATCAAACCACATAACATTCTTCTAAGTGAGAACTTCATTCCAAAAATTTCCAATTTTGGCCTAGCAAAATTGTATACAGTAGATCATAGTATTGTGTCTCTCACTGCAACATGAGGTACTCTCAGATGTATTGCTCCAGAATTGTTTTAAACATTGGGAATACCTCACATAAGACTGATGTTTATAGCTTTGGAATGTTGTTAATGGAAGCGGTGGGAAAGAGAAGGTATTTGAATGCATTTACTGAGCAATCTAGTCAAATATATTTCCCTTCATGGATTTACAATCAATTTGACAAAGGGGAGGATGTAGAGTTAGGAGATGCCACTGAGAGTGAAAAGAATATTGCAAGGAAGATGCTCATGGTTGCTTTTTGGTGTATTCAGACAAAGCCTACCGATCGTCCTTCAATAAGCAAGGTCTTGGAGATGCTTGAAGGTGAGGTTGAGCTACTTGAGGTACCTCCAAAACCTTTTCTATTATCTGAAAGGATCATCCGAGGAGCCCACGACGTCGACCCTTGATGTTACCACCAAGAGCATGGAAGTGCCTCAAATGTGAATATTGAGATCTTCCTTTATTTGGATAATAATAAGAAAAAGAAGTTTCATAAAGAAAAAAGATATAATAGAATATAAAACATGACCTTTAGCAACAATAACATCCTTTAAGATGTATGTGCACGAGAAATTGTAGAAATTTTAAAATGTATCAATTTAATATGATAGCTTAGGAAATACTTAATTTGTTTCAATCCGAAATATATAATAAAAAGTTTTTTAATCATAGTTAAAATTTGATTATTACTAGGAAAATGACAAATGAAGAAAGGAAAATGGATCTTTCTAACTCTATTGCTTTCTTAAGTAATTAAAAATTCCAGTTATCCTTTTTTTTTTCGAAACAACTAGTTATCTTAGTTTAATTACATCTCAAGATTGGTTATAAACACCTCAAAATTAATCTAACTTACTTATAATGTGAATTTTTCCCCATATATGATTAATCCATGAGAAATAAAATAGTAATAATTAAGAGAAGAAAATGTCTAAATATATGAGCAACATATGCTTTTATAAATCCTAATCCCTCTTGTTGACTACTCCATTTTTTTTTGTACAATTCTTTTTCCATAATACATAAAAAAAAGCTCTTTAAAAATTTAAGAAAATTTAAATAAATCTTATTTTTTTATTGTATTAAATAATATAATATTGATGTGACATGTTAAATGGTGATGTGGTGTGATAATATAACTACATGACATTTTTCAATCTTCATAACAATGTTTTATGAGCATAAAATGATAAGTTACATTTTGATTAATAATAATTAATTAAACTTAATTATAAATGTTTATTTAATCTAAAGTAAAAGTATAAGAACGTGATTAAGTATAATAGAAGAATACAAATTTATTAAAATTTTATTAAATAGTTCATGGGGTTTTTAAAGTATTATTACTTTTACTATATAAAATTTTCAAATAACAAACTCGCTATTATTACATAATTAAAATAGTTGATAAAAATTCTTTGCTCAACTTAAATCAATTTCTTTCCCTATGCACCAAAAAAGGGAAAAAAAAACTTAAAATCAATTTTTTTTAACATCAGACTGCAATGCAAAAGGGCTAAATTGGGCTAGGCCTTCTACGCAATCCCCAGCCCAAGGCTCGGTGTTTCCCCTTTCACTTTTTCTCTGCATATTTCTTATTCGACTCGCACCAAGAGGGAAAGCCAGTCACCCAGCAGCCATGGACTTGGAAACGAACTTCGAAATCAGCCGCACAGCAGAGTTTATTCGAAGTAGGAATTTCACCAGAGTTGCTTTGCAGGTAAAGGAATATAATATATATTGGTTGTACCTGTTCTTTTTTTTTTCTTTTTTATGTTTTAGTTGTTGAATGAAAAAGTGGGCTTTGGTTTTCCAGTTCCCAGATGACTTGTTGAAACATTCTACGAAGGTGGTTACTTCATTGAGAAAAAAGCTTGGGTCAGGTAATAAAGTTGGGTTATTTGTAATGGCAGACACAGCGTACGGAAGTTGCTGTGTTGATGAGGTTGGAGCTTCCCATATTGATGCTGATTGCGTTGTTCATTATGGACATACCTGCCTCAGCCCGTAACTACTCCTTTTTCTCTTTTTTCTTGTTTTGAGAATTTTTGTATTTATGGTAAGCTTAGATGTGTTTTATCAATTCTGGGTCTTAATTGATGATTTGATTTTTCTACTAGTTATGTTGGAACGTTGCTTCTCTTTTCTGTTTTGGTATGCATAAGAATTTTTTTGTTTTTTTCATTATCCTAATTAGAGCTTAAATATAAAAATCGAACTTTTTCCTTTTCATCTTAAGCTTTAGGATAGCTTTTCACCCAGCTTCCTCTTTAGCATGTGGTATCAATATTGAATTCTGGAAATCTTATCTTCTTTTAGTTAATTTCTTCACTCAGTGTGTTGCCCTTCGAGCTTTATGTGTCACCATCTTTAATCCTTCTTTAACTTGCACCTTTCTTATGCAATTTTTTTTTTTTTGAAAATCTCCTGTCTTATGCATTTGGGTTTGTGCGCAAAACCCTTTCATCATTCACCTGGCTTACATGTGAAGGGTTTATCAGAATTTTTGTATTAAAACTGGACAATGTCCTGTTAGCTTCAGCTTTTGGATTATTTGTCATCCAACTCTCTCTTTGAAAATCCTGTCTCATCCAGTTATGTTATTAAATTACAAGGTCTGATGTGATTTTGAATTCAAAATTCTAGCATATAAATTCTCGTATATTTTGATGTCCATTCATACCATGATTCGACAAAATTCTGCACCAGCTATTGACTTCCCAATGACAACCTTCCTTTATCTGGACCTAGGACAGACTTATACTTTTTAATGCAACGAGTTTTTATTGTTTAAATTGGGAAAATTCTTAAGGAATTTGAATTTTTGGTAATAAAGATCTTTCATGACATGGTAAAGTTAAACTTTAGATCACTTCCAAAGAAAGCTGAAATCGACTGATGGCCACTGAAATCTTAAGTCTTGCAAAAATGTTCAGTTCTGAAGAAGGTTTTGGAGTTCCAAACTTCTGGGATTATGAGCCTAGAATAGATCTTTCCTTCTTAATACATGTTACAAGGAACATTGGAGGAGGTTAAATTACCTTGACCTTTTAGTTTCTGGTGATAAGGAAATGGCTAAAAATTAAGACCAGAGATTTTTTATGTTTCTGGAAGATTGTTTATAAGTTAATGGTGTTGGGAATTGTTGCAACATTTGCTGTTATTTCAGTTATGATACATCTTTTGGGTTTGTCCAATAGAGTTTTGAACTTAGTTTGTTTCTCTTGGTTTCCATGTATTGTGGTTTTCTCCTGTAATCCTTTAGTTTGAAAATGTGACTTTGGGCAGAGTTCAATTTTTTCTCCCTTTGGATTTTGTGCTGTACTTCATATATTCTCCAATCAAAGATTAATTTTTGTTGCAGAACCTCAACTCTTCCATCATTCTGTGTTTTTGGAAAAGCTTCCATCAATGTGTCCAGTTGTGTGGAGAAGTTGTCAAGTTTCTTTTGGACCGATGGCAGACCTACTGTGGTATGATAAATAATGTTGAATTTCTGCCTTGTCATGTTTAATCTATTTTCCATTATGATAAATAGATATCATAGATAACAATTTGTCCTGATGCATGTTCTTATTTTTTGTTTACTGTTCATTTTTTTCTCATTGCTGTAACTATTATATGCAGCTCATCTAGTTGCATATGTAGATATGAGGATTGTATAAAATGCTAGTCTCAGCTGAGGATATGAGATTTATTGTTGGATTCTTGTTTTGGCCTTCCTATTGACCTTGGACCTTTTTCTTTTCCTGGAATAAGGAAATAAAATGAGAAAAAAGATAAGATAAAGTTTGGGATGAGTGCATATGGAAAAGGTTGAGGTTGCATCCATTGAAGACCAAATGATTGAAATATGTTTAAGGTGGTTTGGACATGTGAGGAGACCTACAATGCCTTCATGAGAAGATGTGATTTAATGGAGGATACTAGTGTCAACAGAGGGAGAGGAGGCTAAACAGGACATAAATGAAATCTTTAAAAAAGAACCTTATTTTTACTGAGCTTGCTGATGGTTTTGACTAAGTATAGTGTTGCATATGACCAATATAACTGGCCTTATTATTGTTGTAAAAAATGAAGATAAATATTCAGCCCTTAAATCTGGCCAATTCCAGGTGCCATAATTAGCAAAATGCTTTTATTGTCATAAAATAGATAGCTGAAAGTAAAATTCCCTGACTTGAACTTGAGTGATTTTAGAAATCTAGTATCCTAAAGAACAATCACATTTGACCTAAATACCAGACTTAGTGCAATAGAAACTATAAGCATCACATTTGTAGCTGTTTATGCATTTTGTAGTCATTATGGCATTGGTGATATGTTTGAATTTCAAGGGAAATCAGAGGCGTATAGACTGTTTCTTCCAGTTAGTTTGAATGGATGGTTTTATTTTTTACAATGCTAGCTCAAACTAAGGGCATTTTCTCTAGCTCATGAAAGTTTTTCTACATAATGAGCTGGCAACATCATGTTAAGATGGAAGGCAACATCAACTAAATGTCAGTGTTTATGAATTACTGAGAAAATTTTGAAAAACACGATCCATTATGTTCTTTCTCTGTTTATGTTTCTCTTTGCTGAGGTTTCATTTTTCTCTGGCTTATTTGCAGAAAAGGTTCCTCAGAGTATGCAAGCAACATTATGTTAAGATGAGAAGGAAACATTAACTAAAAGCCAAATGTTTGTGAAACATTAACTAAATTCCAAATGTTTGCTTGATGGCATCATGGTGAAAGTTGATTTTTATGAATTACTTAACAGATTTTGAAGAGAAAAAACAGATCCGTTATGTTCTTTCTATGCTGATGATTTTCTCTCTCAAGTCTCACAATTCCTATTTTATTTTTGGATATAATATAGCCAGAAACAGCTAATACAAACATTTCTGTGAGGACTAAAGGTCTTATCATTGGTAGAACAGGTTCTTTATGGGTTAGAGTATGCACATGCTATATCACAGATCAAAGAAGCATTGGTGGAAGCTACGCCTAGGGCCAAAGTGGAACTCCAATTTGCTGATGTTATGTGTTCAATTATTAATCCATTAGAAGATAATAGGAGGTCCAACGGACTCCTAGGGCTTTTGGGAAGCTGTACTAATAACAGTTCAGGTGCAGAAACTGGTACTAGGTATAGCCTAGGAGGCTTGATATGGGATCTACCAGAGGGACAGAGAATGGAGGATTACATGCTTTTATGGATTGGGCCTGATAATTCAGCTTTTGCCAATGTTGTGCTGACATTTAATGGCTGTGAAATAGGTAGATATGTTGCGTTGTTTTTCCCCATGTAATCCCATCTTTTAATAGAGTAGTCAATAACGCATTCAATCATGAAGATGTATGAGTACATATACCACTGAGCAAGGACATTTTACTTCTTGTTTGCATCTATAGGCCTGTGGTAATTTTAATTGACAGCTTTGTGCAAGTTGGGAAGTTTATGTAATTCACAGTTGCATTTGTTCCTCTGCATGGAGTTGAATGATTGTCTCCCGGCTTTACATGTGGTCTTGCGTTGATTTCCTTCTATCTGATCACCATGTATTGATGCTTCATATCACACCGATTACATGATTTCTGAACTCAGATGCCACCATTGCACTCTTTTTCTTTTCCGTTTTTTGTAAGTTTTGTTCAAGAGCTAGTATGTGATGATGGTTAACACTGCCAGAGATATTTGCTTCTAATGCTCTTGGTAGACTTTCTCAAACCTTTTCTTTAAGGAAACAATATCTCATGAAGTTGAAATTATTTTTCTTGTGATGCTTTTGCAAATTAGCTTCATCTATTGATTAATGTACAGTGATAGAAGAATATGCTATTTTTGCTTAATGAAAAGCAATTTTTTTTTTAAAGTTTAGTGTTTGTTTTTAGTGAGATATGATGCAACAGAGGACCGGTTAGTGACAGATGTTTCCCAACAGAAAAGGATCCTTAAGCGTAGGTATGCTTTTAACTTTTCATACTTTTTCAGCCTCACTATTGTTGCCTCTTCCTAAAGTTCTGCTTTTGCTGTTCTGAGTCAACAACACCCACAATTATATTCCATCTAGAGCTCGTCACTAGTTACTTGATACATTCTCTTCATTTTCCTTATGCCCTATCAATATGGTATGGCATTAATGTGTTATGCACTATGTGACTGATGTTTCTTGCAGATATTATCTAGTGGAGAGAGCAAAAGATGCTAACATGGTTGGGATTTTAGTAGGAACTCTTGGTATAGGTAGGTTTTCATGTTTGTTCCTTCTAAACCTAAAGTTGTGCAGAGGACCCTCTTGCCTTTCCTTGTAAATTGTTTTTTTTGGAATTGAATCTTGGCCCCAGATTGTCTTCATTGTGTTCAGCTGGTTACCCATTCTAAACCATTTTGACCATGTTTATGTGCTTTATACATCTGTTGCTCATGTCTGCTTACAGGTTGAGAGTGTTTCTTCACATATCCCTGCACACACAAAAGCACCCAACATGTGTAATATGTGTGTAATTTTAATGCTTACTTTTGTTTATTGTAGATGTGTGTATTACTGCTCCAAATCTATAATTATGTGATTTTTTTTGCTTTTTTTTTTAGATTTTGTAAAAAGTAATATTTTGCTAAGTCCCGGCTAAGATTTATGTTTGCTTGTGGCTTTTGCATGCATCATACTAATGCTAGAAGATGCACTGTATAATTTGGCAACTATCTGTGCAGCTGGCTACCTTCACATGATTCATCAGATGAAGGAACTGATCATGGGTGCTGGGAAAAAGGCCTACACGCTTGTCATGGGAAGGCCAAACCCTGCCAAACTGGCTAACTTTCCTGAAGTAATCTCTAAGACATGGTCATAGATTGCCTTTACGTTAGGAAGTCAGAGAGTTTGATTGATAACAAAAGTATTGCATTTTTGCAGTGTGATGTTTTCATCTATGTCTCCTGTGCTCAAACTGCTCTTTTGGATAGCAAAGAGTTCTTAGCACCAGTTATTACTCCATTTGAAGCAATGCTAGCTTTCAACAGGTGCATCACCATTAACTTGGGTCATTAATGTTTTGTTTATCTAGTTACTAAATTAATTTTCCCTGAGCTATCTTGGCTGTTATCTCTCTCTGCTCATGGCCTGCCCCCCCTCCCCTCCTCTTTCCCTAATCTTTTCTGCATTTGTATCTTCTTGTTTATTTATCTATATATTTAATTTTTTTTATTATTCAGTTCAACTAAACTAAGCTTTATGGTGTAATTGGGAATGGCCATAGGAATGCTTCTCCTGCTACCACCAGTCTAATGCAATACCTCTCTCTTAATGAAATATTAGAATTGAATGACTATGCTTTGTAAAACCAAGCAGAATGGTTGATTGACTCTCTCTCTCTCTTTAAATATATATATGACTCATGGCATGAAAACTTTGTAGGAGAAATTCTCTGCTCACATATACAAGTGTGTGTAGTTAAAATCTCTAGAATTTTTACACTTCTGTTTTGGATATCTAACTTTGAAATTTTCATTCTTTAGAGGAAGCCAATGGACAGGAACATATGTGATGGAATTTCGAGATTTGATTAATTCTTCTCCATTGGAGGTAAGGAAACAACCAGAAGAAGCACGGTTTTCCTTCCTTAAAGGTGGATATGTTGAAGATTTTGAACTTCAAGGTACATGTCGCTCACTTTTGATTCATATTGATAGTGTTTAAATTGCTACACTGTTAGTTTCCAAAAAAAAAAAGGGGGAAAAATTGCTACTCTATTCTGCTTTTCCTAAGAATATCATAAAAATACATTGATGTACTCATTCCTTTATGATCAATGCCAAAAGCGTAGACAATATGATTACAACTGTAATTAGTTCATGGTAACATTCATGTGCAATGTGCGTTCTAATTGGCAGTAATACAGTGTTTGCTGCACTATTTTGTATTGGCAGCTTCAGAGACTGAGAGTGCCACTGGAAATTAATGTTTTGCCTGGCTGTTCCATGCAAATGAATGTTAGTTTTCTAATGCATGTATATTTCTTCATTGTACAAAACTATTTCCTGCCAAATTTGTAATATTTGAGGTATTTTTTTCTTTGCTTCACAATGAAAGTTAGACTGAAACTAGATCTCCATAATGCTTCCATTATTTGTTTTCTTTTTGCTTATGAAATGATGGGTGCACCAGTACTACCTGTAGAACTCAGTTATAGATTTTGTGGTAATTGACTTATTGTTTCAGTGAAAATGGTTCTGTTTTGATAAGTTAGTGAGCCATGCCTTTCTACATGGTTTCTTTTGTGTTTTTTTTTCCTTTATTTTAAAAAACATAAAATGAGAAAACTAATAGAGGTTTTCGCAATGGTAGAGTGTTCTTACAAATGTAAAAGGGTTTTCCAACTATTGTTCTCTGCCCAACTTGGTTTTCTATTGCAATTTTTATTTGGTAACTGCATGATGTGTGTAACAAGGTATTTTATTTTGGTTGAAATGTTATGCAGAGAACGCAGATGAAGACAATGAAGGAAGTCTTGCTTTAGCTAATGCAACAGAGAAGGTTCTGCAACTGCGTGACACAAGCCCTGGTTCTCTTGTCAAAAGAGTAGCTAAATCTGGAGCAGAATTTTTTGTAACTCGATCTTACCATGGTCTTGAAATGCAAGCCAACAGTTCCTTGCCTGAACCATATTTAGTTGGAAGAAGTGGAAAGGCATCGGGCTACAAAGAAGAAAAAATTGAGCATGAAACTTAGTAATTTAGTGTAACAAGTTAAGGAAAAATGCAGGATTGAAGAGAGCCAAATTGGCATTCGAGGTACTGATGTTTCGACCAAGCTTGGTCAGGTGGAAATCCCGAAGCCGTTAAAACTCATTAGTGGGTTGGCTTATAAGGAGTGGCAAGGAGAAGTTCCAACTCTGTACTGACATCAGCATATCGGTCAGGAGTGTTTGCACTGATGTCCAGCACCTTTGGTCTGAGTATAGCTCGGTGCTTAGTTGATCGGTCTCTTGTTTCATAAATGTGTTGGTGCATGTACAGTTTTATTTCATAGTACAAAAATGCTGAGGTTGGTTGGTTCCAGAAACACTTCATTATTTTTATAGTAACACAAAATGTGTCAACCAAAATGTGTGGTTGATGTATTGAAAATTTGCTTATCTATCTGAGCTTGTTTTGCTGTCATTTTTAAGTCCTTTAGATATGGTTAATGCCAAGGTAATTAATCATTAGTGTATGGTTAGTGTTGAAAATTTTGTAAGCATTTGAGTGTTTATTTCTATTTACCATACTTCTTAATCTTAAGTAGATAAATACTTGTGAATTCGTAACTAGTGAAATTTGAATTTATTTAATTTTTCTTTACAAGTTGAATAATTTTTCAATGTAAGTTGCTCAATTTAATAAATAGAATATCAATGATCTTCCTATTCATAAGTGATAAGAGATAGAGGTAGTTCTTGAGGTAGTTGGTGACCTTGTTTATATGTAAATTTATATACTTAAAATAATAGGGTAGTAAGCAAGAAAATTAACTATAAAAAAACAAAGTGTGGGGAGTTGCCAGGCCACATAAAAGCCATTTCTTTTTGAATTAAACCCCCACCAAACCGAAGGAGCCAGCCATGAATCAAGCTCTGCTTAGGGGCATACCCTTTTTTGCTTGCAAATTTCTCCTCTCTTCTACTAAATCCAACGCATTCAGCTCAATTCCCAAGCAGCCCTTTTTCGCCGCTTGGACTCGCTCCCAACTCAGGGTCTACTCCTCCGGTTCCAAAGAAGACGACGACGTTAGTAACGAAGGTAACCCAATTTTGAAACTTACTTTCTGTTTGGTTCTCGAGGAAATATTAAACTAGAAAACACGAGAAAATTTTAATCTTACTAGTCTACCTCTTTTTTTCATTAAGGTTAAAAATTTTTAATGTTTTGAATTGTTTTGGTATTTCATCATAGTTTGAAGGAATTAATAGAAAGTAAAGAAAAAAGAAGATATTTTTCTTTCTGGGGTTTTTATTTGTAATTTGGGTAATTAGTAAAGGGGTGGTTTTTGCAGAGCTAAAAATGCGAATACAGAGGTACTTTGATGGTGATGAAGAGGCTATACCTTCAATCTTTGAAGGGATTCTAAAGAGGAAGTTGTCAGGGAAGCATGAAGAGAGTGATGATGAATTGATGAAAGAGATTCGCCATCTCCGGCATGAATCTCAACCTAAAGATCAAGAGTTCGACTCGGATTTGACTGACGAAGATTGATGCTTTTAAGGTGGCATACATTTGAGGTCAGTGAAATGCTTTTTAGTGCATAATTCAATACCATGAAAGATGTAGTTTCTACTTTGAGAGAAGAGGTGCATTTTCTTTGTTGCTATGGAATTGATACTGTGTAGTTTGTCTGAGTGGATTACTGTCATTTTAATATGAAATCATATGTAGTTTGCTATCAAATTAATGCATCTCTCATAGTACCAACAATAAATAGGAAACATCCAATATTTCGAACCCAAATCAGTAAAATTTGGTTTAATTTGCGTAATATTCTTACAAAGAACAAAAATTCCTGTCATTTGCTATATTGGTTCAAATACTTAATTGCTCGTGTGCAAAGTTTGCATAAAATGGTAAGTGTATAATTGCTTTGACCAGGCCGAGTACATTTTAGTCTTTAAGTGAACATGGTCTATATATAGATTTTCTTTTGTGCAAAGGTGAAGAAAGGATAAATTTCTATTGCTGCTTTAATCACTTAAAATGAAACAATTTTATTTTCACACAAACAGATTATAAAGATTTCATTCCTATTTCAATGTGCAATTGGGAATGTCTGTGCATGCATAACCCAAAAAAATATAGTAATCCTCTGAGGTTACAGCAAAAGTCATTGTTATTTTAATGGGAACTAATAAGGTCTAGATTCACTATGCAAACACAGAGCAAAGCCAAACAGTAGCACAAGTGAACAAGAGAAGCAAAGCAAAATGGTGTAAAGTTGGTTTTTTGAAGCTTGTAGTTTCTATGCTGGGTAGTGAACACTTTCTGAAGATCTTCTCTAAAGGAATTTGTATGAGAGGCTAATTCTGTAGTGGTGGTTGTTCATGGTATATCACCATGATACATGATCATCAACTAGTATAATTACTTTTGTAATACACAATTTTTTCTGGTAATTGTGGATAATCCACATTTACCGGAAACTATAAATTAAAATAAATGCTCTCTCTTCTCGGGCTTTGCGTTTTCTCTCTTCTCTTCTTGCTTTTTCCGTCTTTCTTCTTCTTATTTATTTATTTTTAATGAAGTATGACCTCTTGGAGTCTTGGGTCCTGAAAATGGTTTTCGTGCCTGATTACATTTGAGGTCAGAATCAGACCACCAGCCTAATCTTTGTCCTTCCTTTCTAGTTACTAAATCCTACTTCTCTTTGATGGGTGCTCCAACTCTCAAAAGAAATATAATCTTTAACAAATACACTACACATTACGTAACCCCAGTTGGGAGAAAATGATAGTAACCCACTTAGACAGACTACATAGGTATTAAATGTTACTGCTCTATACTTCAAACCTAGACATTTGAATTGTCTTGTGATGCAAGGATTGAGTGGGTCGAGTCTAAAGCAAGCCAGCTCATGACGTCTTACCAATCATTGTCAACGGTGAAACTTTCACATTGTGTGCGTGGTGCCTAGATGACTTTGTTTCTGTATTGCACAGGAACACTAGTGACTATGTGGCATATTGCTATTGATAGTGCTTGCCAACCTGGAATTAGGAGGGGAAAGACGTCTGCAAGTAAGAAAAATAAATGAAAGGAAACGGGAAGTACCTTGGTCTAATTAGAATGCTAGAATAATGGAAATAAGCAGCAAACTAGTGACTGATTTTGCTTTTTTTTTTTTTTTCCCATGAATGACCAATATTGCTTAGATGCAAAGGGAGTTGTTGCGTCATGTTTTTTATGTAAATTTATTATATATAGTTTAAAAATACCTTTCTGCTGAAAACCTTGTATTTATTCATTCTTTTGAACTATATTGTGAGCTTGAAAGATGTGATTGAATTTTGGATCTAGCAGCAACCCCAAAGAACTTGGCGAGGTAAAAATCCATTTTTAGAAAACTCTTTCCTTTTTTGACTTGTCTTCAACCTTTCAAAACTCATAAAAGTCCAGTTTGAAAGTGTTCACACGACCTCAAACACTTTCCTAGTCTACATTTTGTTATTTGCAAAATAAACTCTTACTCTTACGCAAGAGGGAAATACCACTGAAAACTAGATGTAAATATTTTGGTGTCAATCTAAGAAATCTAAGGATTTTGGATTACTATTTGGATTGAGGAATGGATATTTTCTTTTTCTACATGTGAACTTCATTGAGATTGAGTTATACAGTGAGAGTTAACATTCTTCCCTTTCCCAAAACTCCTGAACATAAGACTTTCAAGTTGAAAGTTTTGAGTTTGAAGTTTAATCATGAAGGTGTCTACCTTTACAGGCTGATTGATGAAAACTAGAATAAGAAACTCCTGGAGTAGAAATTCTAGTGAAATCAAGACATTAGCAACTTTTTCTTCACCCTTATACATTGGTACATGTGCATATATAATTTAATTTAAATGTGGGTGGATTAGTAAGAGTTTTGCTGTACACTGATACCATAGAAGCTTAGAATGCATACACATTTCTTAAATTTTAGAAAAATTCTAGGATGACATTGAACTTTTAGATGTCTCTGTTTATTTTGATTACAATTTTGTCAAAGAATCAGAAATAAGCCGGCCTCGAGATTCTTCAGTTGCTGGCCACGAGAGCTCTCCACTTCCAATAGAAATTCATAACATTGATACATATCGGCAGGGTTGCAAGCAATAGATATCCTAAATTGATACAAGAACAAAGGGAGTATACATAAAATTGTTGGAAGGAAAAGATGAAAAAAACAAGTTTAGAATCTTGAAATTAGTCTTACCTAGATAGAGGACCAAATTAGTGCCAAAAATGACACAAAGGAACACGAGTATCTCTAGAGAGGCAACAACCTGTAAGCTAGAGAAACTTATATTAAGAAGTAAAAATGGGATTGAATTTAGAATAGAGAAGGTATTAGGCATACAACAATGGCGTACCTCAGACAAAATTTCCAGGTGATGCTCTAAAGCAATGATCACTAGCACGCCCAAGAAGCATGACAAATATAATTAATTAGTAACAATCAGAAGGCAAAATCTTGTCATAATCTTTAATTAAAAGACCACTTAATGAAAGATGCTACCAACAATCTCAAACTTACTCTTGAAAACTGACAATGCCAGTGTGAAGTTCTCCAAATTCAAAGAAGCAGAGGATGGCAACCAGAGCCATGCTGAAAGCATGAACAAGCGTCAAAGCCATGACGCAAAGCAGTGATCTAGCAACCCGGCTGTCCGTAGCTAGTATGGAGAAAACCAAGATTTCTGTAGCCAGGAACATCATTAAGGTAGACAATAGTGATTCTCCAATGCACTTCTGTTTCTGCAAGAAATCATGTGGGCGGTTACCATTTAGTACTTTGTTTTTTTTAAAAAAAATTATTGAAGAAGAGGGATTTGAATATGGCTTTTGTGTACTAGAATATAAGGTGTTCAAGGATCAAGGTAGGGTCTGAGTTCGAGGTCTCGCTCGACTCAAGGATAGGTGTCATTGATGATCCGACTTGCTCGTTTAATTATTATTTTAATTTTATAAAATATTATTTATATTAGTGTCTTAATATTTTAAAATTAATGTCAAGCCAAACTCAAGGCTAAAAAAAATAATGTCCAAGCTTAACCCTGAAAGGTTGAGTTAGTGAGATTATTTTATCATTAAATAGTTTTTTTTATTTAATTTTAATTTTAAAATATTAATACAAAATGTTTTTTAATATTTGAATAATAAATAATTTTTAAATGGGTGGATCGGGTTGGAACTCGAACCCATGTTTTAGAGTTACGGACCACAGTTGGCCCGGTTCATGAAAGCTCTAAAGGACTTGGATTTGATTTGATCTAATTAATAATTTTATGAGATGAGCTGCTTTTTTAATTTAAAACTTCTATTTTCTTTTAAAATTTTCCAAACAAAAAATCATGGAATAAGAAGGTATTATGTTCTATAATAATATGAAATATTTGAAATAAATAGTTTTAAAACTTAATTAGAAAAAACAATTTAACATTGGAACATCTGCAGTCATCCAATGCATTATTACACAAGTAGTAAGCTGGTCTAAAAGAAATCAAGTGACCAAGAAGCATATTAAGAAATAACCAAATAACTAAAACCGGATGTTAATTTATAGGTAACGGCTCTATATTATAAAGGTACAATCATAAATTTCATTGACACATAATAACCACATAAGTCTAATTATAAGAGTAAAACCAAACAATTATTATAAAAATAAGAAAAAATTAAAATATCCGACAAATCAACCATTTGATTACTCACAAAAAATCAATATTTATAAATTTTAATGTTTATTATTTTTGTACCCTTTACGAGTAATCAATTAACTAGATAAAATAGAATTATCCATAACAAATTGAGAGAAAACAAGTATTTATCAAAAATGGAGAAATGGGAACCATATAATAGACAAAGTAGAGGATAAATAATAATAATAATAATAATAATAATAATAACTTAAAGCTCTTACTTATTGAATTGAGACTCTCGTAATCAGACATGGTTTTTCTCATCAAAATTTTATGTATAAATTTGTTAGAAGAATGGTGTTTTTGAGAGAATTTGTTTAAATATTCAATCCGTTATGCCCAGAGATATATATGTGGATCTCAAAGCCTATAGCTTTATAGGCTAAAATCAAACATAACTTAGTTGCCAAGGGAACTAAAATAGTGAAACAGTGGATCAAAGAAGAAAAGAATGGCTTTCATATTCAGTACTTACCAAACAAAATATGCGTTTTCAATCAGAGGAGAAAAGCAAAGAACAATTGTCTTTTTGCTTTTCTTGGAAGAACAATTGTCCTAATTTAGAATCTCTTACAGTGAAATTACTTTGCATGTTACTTAACCTTTATATATATGCTTGGATACAGCTTGTGAACTACTTGAAATTTGGCTTTATTTAGCTAAATAAACAAGCCTCGATCAAGGGTATTGCTTGACTTGTTTTATATATGTTGGTGAATTCAGCTAGCAAATAAAACTTTTGGAACCCAATTTCATGTTTTTATTATCCCAAACTTTTATTTTTATTCGAGCTTTGAGTAATTTATTAGTAAAATACCCCTTTTTCTAGTAAATTAGGTTTAAATTTAAATAAAAAAATTCAAATAAAGCAATTAATGTATACATCATTTGACAAGTGCTTGATGCACGTAACATGCACGTGTTGCATATTGAAGTTGTGATAAAAGATATGCAACATTAGTTAAACTAAAGGTGTTCTAATAACTTAAATATAATAAGAGTCTCTCAACCAATATTCAATTACTTCTAAATTGGATGTCGCTCTTAAAAATTTAATATGGTATTAGAATTAAATTTTGCATCAATTACATTAGAGGTATCTCAAAAATTTAAAAATTAAATATAACAAGGATCTCTTTACCTATTGTCAATTGATTTTAACTTAGATACTTGCCTTTCAAATTCAACATCCTTTGAAAGCCATTCATTAGCTCTTTCATGAATCCCTTTTGTGATTCATGTTACATGATACGTTTGTATTCCTAACACTTGAAAAGGAGTAGTTAGGAGTATTTAAATGGTGATAATAAACATCCCACATCAATTAAATTAGAGGTACAGTGAGAATTTAAATATATTAGAAATCTCTACACTTATAGAGAATTGATTTTTGATCAGATATCAGACCTCTGCAAAGTATCACTTAACACCTGAATTAATGGAACAAAGAATAATTTCTTCATAAAGTTGGAAGAATATTAAGAACCAAAAAGTTATTTTTTAAACTATGAGAATTAAAATGGTACCTATGTCCTTAAACTCTGAGGATCACTTGTATAATTTACTCTATTTATTCCCAAACTAAGTTTAAAACATTATTTTAGTGTAAAAGAAAAAAATATAAATAATGACGAGGAGATATTTTGATGAATCCTTAAAACACAGCGGTAGTCATTATATATAGAAGATATATAAAGAAATAATTTTTACATTAAAGTATATATAAGAATTTATTCGTATACATGACAGTATTATGAAAGCCAAGTCCAAGCCCCAGCACCATAGGCATATTATCAGGAGAATATTGTCACCATTTATAGTTTGATTACATCTTGGAGAAGTATATATAGCAAACCCAAGCCGAAGTTGATCTTTCACTTGCTGGCGGCGAGAGCTCTCCACTTTCTATAGGAACTTGCAGCAGTCAAAACTTTCACACGTTCAAAGAGTTTCGCCAGTTCAACGATGGTGATTATTTCGATGCATTTCGAGATGCTTCTTCTGATAGGATCATTAGAAGATGAATCAAGGGAAGAAGCAATTCTTTTGCTTTATATAATAATATTGCTGGCAATTTCGACTTACTTATCAATGTGACTCGAGAGAAATTGTTGGAGAAACTCATCAAGTTGAAAGAAGCAGAAGATGGCGAGCAGAATCATATTAAAACGATGAAGAAGCATAAAAGCAGCAATGCAAAGCAGTGCTTTAGTAATCCTGCTGTTAGTAATTAATGTAAAGAAAACCAAGATTTCAATTGCTGCAAACATCATCATTGTAGACAATAGTATGTTCCTCCTTAGCAATGTAACTGCAAAAGCACAAAAAACACAACTATGCTTCATCTTTTATATCTATAAGTACCTTGTTTCACATATAATTTAAGGTATCTCAATTAATTAATATCTACTCATGAACTATTATTTCATATTAATAATTGCTTTTCACATAAAAAATTGAAAAAAATAAAAAAAATTAAGCTCGAGCCTGGTCTAGTCTGTTCCGATCATATTTTATCAATGCATAATAAAGTTTTATTTAATTTTAATTTAAAATATAAAATGATATTTTTATATTTTATATTTTAACCTACATGGGCAAATTGTATAGGTCAAGTACTTGACTTTTAAAAAGGAGATGCGTAGGCAACACCTCTATGCTTTTTAAATACTATTTACGTTGGTATTATATGAATTTTATCCTATTATTTTTAGAAAAACCAAGAGTTTGTCTAGTTTAAAGATTTATATTTTTGAACAGAAATTTTGAAAGAAGAAGGTATTCGTTATTTTATAATTTTTTAAGTATTTATATTTGATAGTTTTAATAATTTTACAGAGCAGTCAAGAGATAATCAAATGAATTTCTATTCTAAAAAAATAAAATTAATGTAATTTGGAAAAGTATATAATAAGGAAAAAATTTAAAAGCTCTACCTTGTCCGTCGCTGTGGCCTTGGCTGTCAGGTATGGATTTCTCGTTCTCAGCATCGTTTGCCATTTTCTTTGTGCCAATTTGTTTGGAGAAGAAGGGAGAGAATTTATTGGTGCCACTTTAAATATTCAAATTGACTATAATTCACCATAAATTAAGTAAAAAGTCCTAAATGCTTGTTGCTTTATATATAGGCTGAAAATCTACCTAGCTTAGCTGCCAAAGGAATCTAAAATAGTCCAATATATTACTAATTAAAGAAGAAAAGAATTGCTTTATCTCCTAAGAACTAAATATGAGAACTAAACTTTAACTTTAAAATCAGACAAGAAAAAAGTAAGGAATAATTGTTGTTTACAATCCCTTGGGGGATTTTTTTTTTTTT